GATGGGCAGGCCTCTCCCCAATCACGACCCCTGTGGGGATTGTCGTCTGCCTCATGTTCGCCCTCGCCACAGTAGGGGCCCTTGGAGGCCAAGTCGTCCGCTTGCCCTTCTTCAACAAGGGCTACTCCTTCTCTTTCTCTTCCTCTGCTCCGGGAAGCTTCTTAATGGCAGCTGCCAAGTCCTCCATTTGTTTCTTGTAGGCCGAAGAGGAGTTTTTCAGGCCCTCACCTCAACCATCATCCTTTGGATGGTCTTGAAGTTCGGGTTCAGAGGCCTCTTCTTGTTAAAGTCATCTGCAACAAACAAGACAGAAAATCAGCTAAGTTTGAACGCTTTAACCATAGACTAATTATGTAACCTCTACACTCACCTTGGGAGGCCATCAGCTCGTGATCCACAAAATGGATATTCTTTCTTATCAACTCGTTGTAAGACTTCCTCTTCGGAAAAAGCTGATAGACGATGCAGATAGTGTCGAAGTCTTCTGTAGACAACTTGCACCGAGAAAAAGGACCTGCAAGAAAGTATGAGTTATATTTCGAACACAGGCAAACATATTTTCAGAAATGAAGTACTAGTACTCTCTAAATGTGGAGTATTTGGTGGAACGGTAGGGGGCTTTAGGGAGTCACCCTTCATCGTGTCCCATCTCCCGAAAGACCAGAACCACGAACTCTTCCATTCCTTGATGGAGCTTGGCAGATCGAGCACGAATGGAGTGTAAGACCCCTAGGAAGTCAGGTAGTACCATCCCTTCATCTTATCACCCCCCGTCGCGACCTTGGGTATATACATTGTTTGGAAAATAGAAAAGGGCATCTCCTCCCCATAGGATGCCTCCTTCCACAACATCTACGAACCCACCATCTAACTCCAGGAGTTCGGATTCAATTGGGTGGGGGCTAGGCCATGGGACCTTACTACATATCTTAAAAAGGGAGTGGATGGGCAACCTAAGCCCCACCCTCAATATGGCCTCAATAACAGCCACACACCCCAACCTTGGGTAACAGGCTAGCTCATTCAGCCCTCGAAGTATCAAACACACACTATCTAGGATTCTATACTCGGTCCTAAGTCTAGCTAGGTCGATAGTTTTCAACTTGGAAAGATAATCAGACGCACCCAATGTATAGAAGTGTCCGCAGGACTGTCAAGTCGCCTCTAGAGGTTACCCCCCCAATATCACCTTGGACAATTCTGAGGAAGTAGCTACCCTCACTACCTCCAGATCCCCTCCAGAATGCCCACTTCCCTCACAGACCATATTTTTCAGAAAAGTTGTGAAAAACCCAAGAATACTTACGAAACTCGACTAGAATGGATGTCCTAACGCTAAAAAAGGTAAATGTCGTCGAGAAACGCTTGAAACTCGTCGAAAATCGCCAAAAAATTTGAGAACGACGGGGATTTTGAGTTTGCAAAGGTGAAAACGTTGAAATGGTAGTAAGTCCTCCTTTAATAGGAAACCTCAGATGATCCCCACCATTGAATTCAAACAATGTCAATATAGGTCGTTCATCCCATCACAAATCTGGATCGTTGAAATGAAACTCCAGATTTGATCAATGCCCAAAATCTGATTGTGGCTCGCACGCATGCATAAAATGCGTCACCTCAAACAACAATAGTCGTCAACAATAAGTAGCTGCAGCAGCCCTTTTATGGGAATAGGTAGCACATCCAACTGTCGTCTTAAAAATACGCGACAGCTGTCAAATCGATTATTGTCATAACAAGACGCTTCAAATCAGAGACAGTCCGTCCTAATTTGCCTTGGATGAAGCATTCAGCTTTACAAAGCTTTGACGCACTTGACGCGGAGTCCCCTGTGGGTCACAGCCTCAGTCGTGCGTTCCTTCAGTTTTCAAAACTTTAGGCATCTCCCAACGCGTCGTCCCCTATGGATCAGCGTATCGGTGGTAGATGAGCTCTTCACCTAGCTTTACAAAAGTTTCAACGCACCTGACGCGAAGTCCCCTGTAGGTCATCGCCTCAGTCGCGCATTCCCTCAACTTTTCAAAGTTTTAGTCATCTCCCAACACGTCGTCCCCTGTGGGTCAACACATTTGTGCAGATGAGCTCTTTACCCAGCTTTACAAAAGCTTCGACGCATTTGACTCGGAGTTCTTTGTGGATCAACGTCTCGGTCGCTGCGTTCCCTCCGCTTTTGAAAGCTTTAGCTCCCTCCCAACATATCGTCTCCTATGGGTCAGAGTATCGGTGGCAGATGACCTCTTCACCCAGCTTTACAAAGTTTTCGATGCACCGACGCGTCGTCCCTTGTGGTAAGCACCCCAAAAGCAGGACCACAACCCACATGCCTCGGTTATCACTAAGCCTAAGCCAGCACTGGATGCACCTTCTCACATCAGGACTTCATCAGAATTTGCAGTCCCTACTCTAAGCTCGGCATACACAATCGGGAAAACAAGTCCACCCATGATATGAATATTCATGCCTGAACTTGGGGGGACCACTGTTACGCCCATAACTGAACCACTTCGGAACATCAGGCACACCACTCTCTGAAGCGCCACGTCTCCGGTCGAAGTGGTTCCGAAGTGATCCGACGACCCCCAACTTGACACGCTGCGAGGCACAGGGTAGATCCACTGAATCAGCCGAAGTGCCCCCTGATGCCGAAGCGTTAGGCATTCCAAAGTACTCTTTTAACAGATCCCTCCACCGCCACTTTCAGAAAGATCTGTGTCAGGATCATCTCTGCCTCTAAGGATTAATTGATGTAATGTCTCCATAGGTCTAGTTAATATGACGTATCAACTTTATGTCAACTCAACTTAGAAGAAATTAATTGCCCGTCCACTCTAGACACGACTGATTGATGCCTATGAGTGGACACCTCACACCTTCAGATGCATACATGTGTTTCACATCTAATGGTGCTCTACGTCTATAAATACCCAAAGTTTGGCAACAGACAAAGGTAATGAAACTCTCACAACTTAGCTCTCCATATTAAGAAATACATATTCTCCTTCCCACTCTCTTGCATAACTTGAGTACTGTTCCGATCACCCAACACCGACTTGACCATCGGAGTGTATGAGGCCAACACCACCACCGCTAATTCCGACCGTGTACTTCTAACCGTGCGTTATTGTGCGCAGAGAAAATTACGTGGAGTAGTTATCACTTGATCACGTGGAGGGTCCAATTCGCGAGGTCAGCAATAACCACTACAAATTTCAATAAAAAAATTTAAATCTTCTTAATTTCTTGTGCATTGTATATTGAAAATGGGACTGAAATGGCTCATTTAATTGAAAGACAATCAACCAACTAGACTGGTTATAGCTAACAGTCTAAAAACTACAAAATCATTATAGCGACCAAAGAACCGATCTATCCATCTCAAAATTTTGTATTTTTATTTTTTACTACTGGTTCAATTCTAGCTCGATTATTTGATCCTTAATTCTTTATATTTTCTAGGTTGACGTGCACACCAATCTATACATACTAATTGTTCTAGGTCATTCTGAATAAAGGGGTTAGGTTGGTTCGATTGTGTCAGGAAGTGTAGCTAGAATTTTTGGTTTGAAGGGCTTTATTACGTACGGTCGAATATTGACAACATAGTTATAGCTGACAAAGATACTGAAATTAAAAAGAAAAAATAGATCTACATATTTAAAATATATATATATATATATATATAGCTGACAAAGATACTGAAATTAAAAAGAAAAAATAGATCTACATATTTAAAAAAAAAAAAAAAAACCTGAATAATAGAAAAATTGAGAAAATAAATGGAAAACATAGTTTTCGTGTACATAAATACAAAAATAAAGCAAAAACAAGATACAAAAAACTTCAGTCGTGATACATAAGTGAAGGAAAAAATAACTATGCTCCAATTAACTATAAATAAATTTGAAAAACCACCATTACTATGATCATCTTCTAGTAAACTTTTTGTAAAACTCTCTTAGTACATAGCTATACATTCAACTAATTTTCACGAGATTTGTGCTTCAAAAAGGAAAGAATTTTCTTTCAAATTCGAAATTTTTAACAGAAGAAAAAACTAGGTTTGAAAGATTACATTAAGTGCTTGTTTGGTAGGGATTTTGATAATTGGTTTTTTGACCGTTAGAGATAAAGTGGTCCTATCTGTGAGAGAATAATTCAAAAATGACGGTTGAAATAGTGAAATAACGGTTAAAAAATTGATTTTAATTGGCTTAAAATATGAACCAAACAAGCACTAAGTGCTGAGCATAGTGTTTTGCAAACTTAAAAATAAAAAAAAAATAAAAAATAAAAGGTTGAACCCCAACTTTGAGGGCCCTCACCGTCCCGCCCTTAGAACTTTGTGAGGGAGGTAAATAGTGGTATGTGCCCCCAACAGGTTAGGGAACAAGAGTTGCCTGTTCACTACGCCTACAAGGAGTTCAATTCCATTAATGTTTTGCAAACTTTGCCCTTCGAAAGGTTAGCTTGTGTATCACACTTAAGGAAAAGTTAACGATAGAGTTAATAGAACTACGTGAAAAGGACGAGATGTAAAGCTGGGGACTAAAAAGTCTTTAAAGGTTGAGTTGAATTTCCTGAAAAAAGCTAAATGTTGGAAAATAATTGCACAAATTTTCTAAAGAAAAAAAAATAAGATTGTTGGTGGGAGGATTTCTACCCTTACCAACAAAAAAGAAACAAGAAGCTCTTTACACAAGGCTGCAGCCATACTCCATCTGTCAATCAGAGGAGCGCAACCAAGTTTAAAACCTCAAAGCCCTGAAACAAATGTGAAGCCCTTCTCAATTATCTCCATCTTATATATTTATCCCCTTTATTTTCATATATAAAAAACTTATATTTCAAAAAAGAAAAAAAAAAAAAAAAAGGAGGGAGGAC